ATTATGATGAATCTTTTATTGTATTTGAATGATGTTTAATATATCTTTTTCTTCTTTTTTTTTTTTTTAAGTAAAGGTCAGGTACATGAAAAGTGATTTTATGCATTTTCTCTCACGTAACGCGCATTCAATGAAGCTAATGTTATTTGTCAGTTTCTCATGTGCATATTAATTAAGTCGTATGATTGGTCACAGTCAGCAGCTTGTCCGATATAATAATTACGGATAAAATAATTGCGCATCTCGTTAAAATGGAGTCTTGTCCGAATTTTTGCAATTAGGCATCGACGCGATGTTTTCGACGGTAGCATCATCGGAAGCGGGCAAACTGCCAAGATCCTTTTTAGTCGAGAATTTATATGATTTAATATTTTTATTTTTCACGAGAGAGTGTTAATGACGCTCTCGTTCTTGTCATGTTTTTCTAACACTTTATTGATCCTTAGATGTAATGTTCTTCTGCAGCATGTATGATTTTTTTCCTACTCGTTTATAATATTCTTTACTTTTTCGGAGTAAACAAAAAAATCTTGATATTTTTTATTTACAATATTTAATAATGATATAGCTGTTTCTTTTTTGTCTTTTTTGTCTTTCTTTTTATGTTATCTAAATGTATTTCTAGTTTTTACATTACTTAATTATAATCAATATGCTAATTGTTAGTTTGCGTCACGCACGTTATTACATTAGAAAAAGTGTGCTAGTTATACAGGTTTAATATAATAGCTCGTTTTCAGGTAAAAATGTCGCGTGTGATGTCTGTCCTTTTCGCTGGCATCTGTTTTTCCGTGTCAACATATATGATGCCTTTTTGATAGACGTGTAACAATTGCTGGATAATGCATATATACATTTATATAATAGAAACGATAATAGAAACGATATTCCTGGTTTTGTGATAAATATTTTATTGATTTAGCCTTAATGTGTCATTGAATTATGTCATTGCCGCGTATCGAGCGCATTATAAAAGGCGCATTATAAAACGAGTCACAAATGTGTGATACAGAACATTTGCTCTGAATTCAAGGATATCCGGGTTTCATCCGATCGATATCGAAAATATATCGCGAAATAAACATCACCGTTATATCATCTGAATTGCAAATGCAATTTGAAAGAGGCATCGCCTTTTTACCACCGTATAGGTGCACGCCGATCGAACGCGTGAACATTTCGAGCATCTCGCCAACTTACTACGCTACGCTCTTCGTATTTCAATATCGAAAGTCTGCTGGGTTCTAAAATATCGTCCATGTTCTGCTGAATTATTTTTTGGTCGTGAAACATTTCTCGTGTAACTTGCAAATCCGATGCGAGATAAACAATTTAATGCCGTCTGAAAATAAAATGACGTATACTTTAGAGAATAATACAACGTCGGTAAATGTTCAGCTTTCATAAAAATATCCGAGTTAATGAATTAAATTAAAAAATTGAATAAATATTGAATATAATTGAATAAATTGAATAAATATGTCTGACATTTACTGACATAATGACATAATGGCATATCGATTTTATATACCTTTCGTAAACATTGCTATATTTTTATAATGATGATTATCATATATATATCTTTAAACATTGTTATCAAATATGGTCAAGGTTTTGTAATATTTTGAATCATTCTTACAATCAGTCTCGTCGTTTGCCCAAATACAGTCTTATTTTTATATGTCATTCGGTTGATTTGACAGCAGTTTTTACACATATGTATGGTTAAAGCGCGTTTATAACGGCAGTGTGTCCATGTTGCGTGTCATCATAAAGTATCTGACTATGGATCGTAATGGGCTCGTTCCGAATTCACAGTGTGTGTAGTGTGTGTGTGTGTGTGTGTGTGTGTGTGTGTGTGTGTGTGTGTGTGTGTGTGTGTGTGTGTGTGTGTGTGTGTGTGTGTGTGTGTGTGTGTATGTTGGCCGTAGGGAAAACGAGTTTCGCCCATCTTCTCCTAATACTAGAAAATACGATTCCAGGCCGTACGGCCACTGTAAATCTTTATGATGAATCTACGCGCTTTTAGCATTTATCGTCGTGGAATTTGCCCTTCCCCGGGAATGCAGCCAGGGCGCATTGCTCCCGTAAGCGTCGCCGAGCTTCGTTAAGCGGGCAATGTAGGTTAACGGGCCGCGTTGCACTTGGACTAATAATAAGTTAATTGAAATTTAATCTCCGACAGCAGCCGTAGGAAAAGTTTAATACTTCGAGCACGTTTACTTAGAAAAAGGAACAAGCGGAATAAGGATCGAGAATAATTTATATATTGTTTTAGATTATTCTTTTTTTTTACTTATACAACGTACAGAAACGCTGTACAAAAATAAAACATAGTGTAACAGATTAGAATGATGAATCATTGATTAAGGCTTTATGTCATCATCGATTTATCATTGATTCGATATATCATTGATTTAAGGCTGACCATTTAATATTAGATATTCAGCATTATATCTATATGAGATCGATACGCACGAAACAATAAGCACACATTAAAGAGAGAATAGTATCTATCTATCTAATAGTATCTAATAGTATCTATTTTAGTATCTATCTCAATGAAAATATTTTCTCTTTAACTTTTGACGTTTAGTCGATTGATCACCAAGTGGCTTTTGTCGCGGATTAACCATTGAAATTACTATGTCATCACGATAGACAGTTAATATCGATTTGCGGAATGAGTACAAACGTGTAAAGGAAATTCCCGTCGGGCAAAGTTTCTCGGATCCGGTAAGGATATCAAAGAAGATATTCCGAAAATTTACTACTGACAGGTTCTAGCCGCATTTAATCGAACGAAGTCACGATTCGCTAATTAGGATCCCTAACGACCGTTAATCGCATTGAATTCTACGCTTTGTAGTCGCGTGATTCGTCGACGTACTCCACTTCGACGTTCTATGACGGTGCGGTCGTCTGATGAACATGTGAACCGAGCCCCTCGCAACATAGTTACATTACATACATCGTCTCACGTTAAAGCACGTCGCGATGACGCCGAGTCTGTGTGAGCATACAGGGTGATTCCAAAATTACTGTACCTTTCCTCAAATATACATTGTACCGCAAATTTACAGGCCCTTTGTGAATCAAGCCGATTTAGTGAATCAACCTGGAATAATTCGCGAATAAGAACATTTTCGAATTTGACTTAAATATACACCCGAATATTCAAATTTGCCACACATTTTGCAATTGATAATTAATTTTCAACTTGTACACTTTTTATGTATGTAATTTTGAATCTATTTTCTTGACTCTTAATAAATATTACATCTTGTTTTAAAAAGAGTTTAATAAGAACAACGGAACGACGTGAATTTAAATATTTAAGTTAAAGGATGAAGTGAATTATTTATGAATTAAATCGAAGCGCCGAAAACTGAAAGTTTTTCTAATGTGGTAACTTGACTTTTCAATTTTCGCCTTTGCTTCGCCCCCCACGATCATTTTTCATTCATTCTGACCTTATCTATACGCGGGAGGAAACACGATAACTCCGGGACACCCTGCATATGTACACGTGCGCGTTATATATAGGCACAGAGAAGATGCACAACGACGTGCTGCGGACGTACGGATCATCGTTGGCGTTGTATGCCTCGCCGCCGATCCCTCCCGGGTGGATTGGAATCGACTGACTCTCTCTCTCTCTC